CCCCGCACTCCTGGACGGGTTTTGTACATGGTCCCAGCCAGGGTGAGGAGGCCACGGGCAAGGAGGCACGGCGGTGGCAGTGGGGCTGCTGGGTGGCTGCCCCTGAGGTAGCCATGAGCTGCCCAGGACCAGTCACAGCTGGTTCCAGCTGGCTCCGAAGGCCAGGCAGCGGGACAGCCCCGCCACATGCCAAAACCTGACTGTTGCACCCCAAAATCTCACCCCAAAACTTCAAAGCACACACAGCACCCCTTCCCAAACCTTCTTACAAAAAAACCCCAGCAGCCACAGGGTGGGAGATGCGCTCTGAAGGCCTCCATGGCGAAGGGGGGCAAGCACCCTGAGGGACTGCGGCCACAGGCGACCCACACCAGGGAAGGGACAGCCCAGAGAAAGCAGAAAGAAGAGAATATGGTTTGCTGTAAGGAATGATGTGAGATCAGACACAGGTGGATACTTACTGTGTGCATCTTCCTTTTCAGCAATGTGTAGTTCAGCAAAGATACCAAAACCCAGGAACGGACCAATTGCAGATCATCGCACTGAACGACCACGAAACCACATGTGAGAGGAGAGCAAAGCCTAAGCAATGCACATTTACCTCATCTTCTTCAATAAGCTTCTCCACAATTATGTCATGCCCAACAAACAAAATAAAAGTCAGAAGAGGTACTCTCTTTTGTAACAAACCCACGACATACAGATAATTCGGGGTCATTCTGGCATTGTTTCCCCCCCTTCTCCTTCAGAAATATTTAAAGACCACAGCCGGAGACCACGCGCAAACACTTTAAGCGGAGCATTTCATATCTTGAGGGGTGGACTGGCAGCAACAGAGGCAAGTGGGACACAGGAGAAGCAGTCGCTTGACGAGCATGACAGAGGCTCCCTGAAGAGGGTGAGCACAAACACTGCTGGTACTCACAGCATGAGGGATGGGTCCCTCCGCGCCACGACGGACAGGAGGTGTGACACCTGCCTGCTTTCCAGACGAGAGCAGCAGGGAGGCTGTGACGCTCCAACACTGGCAGCACTGTTGCACCGTACCTGTTTTTTGAAAAATGTGACATCCCCTTCAGCCTACACCTGCAGCACTTACCAGAAGGTCTAATTTTACCAAGTATGGATGAAAACGAATTAAGCAACTACACAGAGATCCTGGCTTTCCATAAGCTTTGGAAAAGGTCTTCAAAGCAACATAGAAATCCATGTCAAGAAAAATCCAAGTGGCACCCCTTCTAGGGTTTCTCTGCTAAGCTCCCAAATCCCCCAAATTTGAATCCAGCTCCTGTAAGATAACAAGGGGTAGTTTCATTCATTCCCTTTGCTACAACACGACACTGCTGAGAAGGAAGTCTAGTGACAGTATTGCAAAGCGTCATGGCACGTAGGGAGAAGATAGACGTTAAGTATACTGTGCTGGACACGGGATGTGAGCAAGCTATGGGCTGAAAAGTCCTGTCACAAATGACTGAAGCCATACAATGAGGCTTGAAAACGAGTGCTAGGCCGTCTAATCCGTATCGATAAATGTTGCCACCCTACAAACCAGACTTTGAAGAGCTGAGGCTCAACGGAGAGTGTAAGACTCGGGTATAACCAGACAGTCCTGGTTTCCATAGCGGAGCAGCCGACCCACTGGAAATGGGAGAGGTGTGGCACACACAGACAACAGGGACAACATCAGCCCTGCTCGAGGGGGGGACATGAACGGGTGAGACTGGCACTTGCTCGGAAAGGACAAAAGTGCCCCTTCAAAGCTAACAAGGGTACAAAATGCTAAGCAAAAGCCTGCTGAGCATTCGCAGCCTGGGTCCAGCCACTGCTGCGAGGTGGACAGAATCAGAGATACTAAAATAGGTGCTAATCCTGTCCCTCAGCTTTCTGACACCAAAATAAAGAGCAACCACATATAAGGGGGGGTGGGGAGGGAGAGTAAAAAAAATAGAAAAGAGAGAAGGGGGGAGGGAAGATGATGCCCATAAAGGATGGTTTGCTTTGTCCTGCAGAAAGAGCAGCCAGAGCAGGAAGAAGGAATGTGCATGTGTGTGCGCACCATGTGGGACAAAGGCAGCGTATTTCTCTTCAGCCAAGAGCACTGCTGTCATCTGTCAGCGCTGTACGCCTGTGTTACAAGCAACACCAAACACTATTTGCCTTCCAGTGCCTTTGACAATAGGTTTTTCGTGTTGATTTTCTCATCTGAATTTTCCTTTTGGCTCCCTTGCTCAAAGTGTATACATCTAGTTTTGATGACACTCAAAACAGCTGGCTGCAGACAAGCCACAGGCTTGCATGTCTGGTGGAGTGT